ACTTGAAACGACGGAGCATCTAAAAACGTCTTCTTGGTTCTTTCGGTAAAGTCACGTAGAAGGGAAATAATAAAATAATAAAAATAAAACATTATAAAATAATTCTCACGACTTTTCGTTCACAACGCAAGCAGCCGTCCTCAGGTGAAGAACAGGTCTGTCGTCTTTCCGAACAGGTCTGTCGTCTTTCCGACAGACCTGTTCTTCACCTGAGGACGGCTGCTTGCGTTGTGGCCGAAACGTCGTGAGAATTATTTTATTATGTTGAATTTTTATTATTTTATTATTTCCCTTCTACGTGACTTTACCGAAAGAACCAAGAAGATGAATCCCTGCAGTCACGAAAGCTTTAAATCGAAATTTAACATCTAAAAACGATTAAACTATTTATTTTTTATTTTTTAACAGGTAAAGGCCCACTGAGGATCTGTAGCTCTTTGTTCCAGAAGCGACCTAGCTATCACAAATGATAGCTCAACGAAATTTCTTATCGTCATGTGGAAATGTATCGCAGCAGCCAAATATATATATATATATGATAAACGCACGTTGACTCTAAATGTGGACGGAAAAAACGGAGGACCTGGAAACACAGGGAGAGAGAGACACGCAAACTCCAGATATGCAGCAGGTGTCAGGGTCGGGATCGGGATCGGGATCGAACCCACGACCTCCTGTCTACCAGGCGAGGTAGTTAACATATTGCCACAGTGGCATCCACATTACAATAAGCCATGTTATTGAGCTGTCATTTGTGATAGGCAGGTCTCTTCTGATATAATAGCTCCAGTATATAGCCTCAGTAGGCCCTTACCTGGTAAAATAAAAAAATAGTTTAACAGTCTTTAGATATTCTAAGGTTTTCGGTAAAGTCACGTAGGTAAAACATTACAATTTAAATTAATAAAAGTAAAATAAAAATAAAATTAAAATCACGACGTTTCGGAGGCAACACAAGCTTCCGTCTTCAGGTGGAAATTATTAATTTTAATGTTTTACCTACGTGTATCAAGTAAGTCTTACTTGATACAGCTATCGTGCTGTGATGGTTCCACCTGAAGACGGAAGCTTGTGTTGCCTCCGAAACGTCGTGATTTTTATTTTATTTTTATTTTACTTTCATTATTTTCATTTTAATGTTTTACTTACGTGACTTTACCGAAAACATTAGAATATGAATCCTTGCAGTCACGAAAGCTTCAAATCTAGAAGTCTTTAGATACTCAGTCCTCTGCTCCTGGAGACATCTTTAAAATTCAATTATCATCTCCCAAAGCTCCTGACTTCATACCAAAGCCTAACGTCCTACAATCGAACGTTGCTATTTCTCCATACGATACCATTCACCCAATTCCCCAACTTGGCCAACCGAGATTATTTTGGACCATCTCTCTGTGAACCTCAAAACATTCCCTGAACATTTAAGCAATTTCTTTGGGGATGCTGCCGTTGCTGCTGCACTGGCAGTGGTTCCCAAACGCAGTTTCTAACAACAACAACAACAAACGCAACACACTCATTATAAGTGTTGCCTTACAAAAAATATATAAGTAGTCGGTGACATTTCTGGCAATAGCCCTACATCGTGAGTAAGGTCAGTCAGACAATATTGTGTATTCTTTTTTTCTCTCAGTGTGACAAAAAAATCACGTTCCTGTTTTCTGAATAAAATAATAACTTTTGCTTACCCGTTAATTTACTTGTACGTTTCCTCGCAGCAAAACCTTGACGACTTAAAAGAGGGGAAGGACAGCACTAATTACAGAAACAAAACCGTGAACATCGCGGGTCAACTCTTCAGCCGGTATGGTGGAATAATTTAGGCCGATCCTAAGCAGCAGATGAAAGTGCCTTGAGAATCAATGCGACGAAACGGGCGGCGAGTGGTGACGTTAAAACAATAAACGGAACATGAGGCTAGTTAGCCTGATGAAGAAACGTGGGGTGCGTACGATAATATTGACGAAAATGGCAAGCGAACGATAGAACACACGGAACTCTGTAACGCCATCAGGGGGGGGGGGGGGAGGCGAGAATGAGCGTGGACATCGTAGGAACACGGCGCACAAAGTAACAGACGATGTCAAAAGAAAAAATGGGTGCATAATAAAAGCAGTGGGACATTATGTTTATGATTGATACATCGCAAATGGTCACCCAAATCGGGCAAGATTCAAGCATAAAGCATGACAGAATCATTAAACTCGTGGAGGAAACGTATGCAAATCTCGATAGCAAAATATTCAAATAGCACAGGAGACAGATTCCTTTTCAGATAAGGATTATGATGTTCTGAATGTCACACTTGAAAAAGTAAAGAGTCCTTCGCAGCATGAACACGAGTGGAAAGTTCCAAGACCAGATTAATAACCGTAGCCATCGTCAAACAAAGGCTGGACCAGCTGTTACAATGCAATTATCAGACCGATTTGTTTATACTGAAATGAAATAGTGCAACGATGCAATGATGCCTCAATCATTCTTGTATTTAAAAAAAAACATGACATATAGACTCATTAGATTCTTATCACACGAATATAAATTGTTCCCGAAGACCACTGTGAACGCGATAATGAAAAATTTACAACGCAACCAACCGTGAGAATAAGCCGAATTCTAGCAACAACAAAAACCCCTAATGAATATCAAATACCATTATGGCCACAGCCTTTGTAGGGTATGAAAAAGACATTCGATTCAGTGAAATTGATGCAGTCGTCCAAGCCGTGACAAACCAAGGCCTAAATAAAACACATTTAGAAGTGATGAAAAGCCATTCGCAAGGGTGGAACTGTTACGCTGAGATTGTTGTTGTTGTTGCAGATAATGGTCCAAATATATTTCAGACGCGAGTCAAGCAAAGGGGTTCGCACTCTCGCTAGAGTTACCCACACCAAGGTTAAGTGAGAAGACGCTTCCAGTAAATCCGATTTGGTGGTATCATCTCCTCCCCCCCTCGGGCACCTCTGATGAGCATGGCTGGCCACGTGCGGTGCGAAAGAAGTTCAAATGTACGCATGTCTCAAAACTTTCTGGCCACAGACCCATTCTAGATTTGAAGTTTTCGCGACTGCAAGGATCCATACTCTTGGTTCTTTCGGTCAAGTCACGTAGGTAAAGAAAATAAAAAAATAAAATAATATTAATTAATTAAATCGCGACGTTTACTTCAGTAAAATTTCTTGCTGTGGTTGTCACACCTGATGATGATTGCTTGTGTTGCAATCGAAACGTCGTGATTTTTTAAAAATCTTTTTTTTATTTTCTTTACCTACGTAACTTTACCGAAAGAACCAAGAGGACAGACCCATTGTATCGACGTACGAAAGGACCTCCAGCGCATTATTTGCAGAGCTTGAGAAGAGGGAGACGGCTGCGATGTTGGGTCTTGGGCAGGTCCCGTCTGGTGCGAAAGGCTCAAGGCCACTGGACGAGACTGCGCTTGAGAGGATGACAGCCGCGAAGGTTGGAAGCGATGAGATGAGCTGCTGAGTTGCCTGGATGGAAGATGATGGATCGTGGCACCGCAAGGCCACGGTGGACGGTGGAGGCTCGGGGAGGTCTTCATCGAACATTGGATAAACAACGGCCAATGTGGATGATAGGTTGATGGATGAATTAAGCCAGTTGCAACAAGTTGCATGCAGTTTTGCGCATCATCAAAAAAGCACGTTTTTAGAAAATGTGCACAAACTGACCCAATTTTTACTGGGTCAATTTGTGTGAGTGATCACATTTTAATAATCTGCGCAGAGTGTAATCATGCACCCAGTATATGTGTGTATACACAACTTTACAAAGTCTGGAGGGCTGTTTTCCTTTGTTGGTAATTGACGTGGGTGCGATTCATTTGATTTCTTTGCGAGTGATGAACGTGCGTTTACTTTTTAAGAAACAGGGTGGGGTGGTGGGGGGATGTAGAGTGGGGGGGGGGACGTGGGTGGGGGGGGGCGTGAAGTGGGGGGGGGGACGTGGGTGGGGGGGCGTGGAGTGGAGTGGGCGGGATGTGGAGTGAGGGGGACGTGGGTGGGGGGGGGGCGTGGAGTTGGGGTGGGGGGTGCGTGGGGGGGTCGTGCGGGGGGCGTGGGGGGGGGGTCGTGCGGGGGGGGCGTAGGGTGGGTGGGGCGTGGTGTGGGGGGATTGTTTTCTGGATCATTGGAATATCGTGAGAGATGGTGACGGCATGCTGTTGGGGGGGGTGGAGGGCGGGGGCTTCATCCAGCAGTAGATAGATGATGGCTGATGACGACGATGCACTTGCGAGAGCTCCGAGGGTACACAGCGGTGCACGGCAGATGCGAGGCTGTACGAACAGCAGCTGCCTACGCAGCAGAATGTCCTTAAGCCTGTCACTAGATTAGTGTACTATGTTGTATGCATGTATGCTGTATGCATGTATGCTGTATGCATGTATGCTGTATGCATGTATGCATGCATGCATGTATGCTGTATGCATGTATGATGTATGCTATATGCTGTATGCTGTATGCATGTATGCTGTATGCATGTATGTTGTATGCATGTATGCTGTATGCATGTATGTTGTATGCATGTATGCTGTATGCATGTATGCTGTATGCTGTATGCATGTATGCTGTATGCATGTATGCTGTATGCATGTATGCATGCATGTATGTTGTATGCATGTATGCTGTATGCATGTATGTTGTATGCATGTATGTTGTATGCATGTATGTTGTATGCATGTATGTTGAGCTTCTTCCGTACCGTACGAAGCCAAGCTTGCTAATCGGGAGGTGCGGAGGGAAGGACAGCAAGACTAGCGCAAAGGGCTGCGTTACTTTTGCCGATATTACATTCGAGAAACTCAGTGGTGGTGGTGGTAACGGTGGTGGTATATATTCGATATATAGAAGAACGAGAAAAAAAATCAAACACCGTTCAACATTTTTGGCCAAGAGTGTGCGGGTGCGCGGAGTTTGTACTCGAGGTGGCAATGACACGTCCGGTGGTGCGCGGTGTCCCATCTATTCCCGCAGATTGATTGACAAGCAAGTGACGTCGCTCCAGAGCATCAACGACATCGATGCCGAGTACTACATCAACCTGCACAACCTGTGAGTGCGAGAGCCGTGTGCACGTGACTCGCTGCTGACCACAGATGAACCACCAATGACCTCGCTAAAAATTGCTCTCATAGTGGAATTGCCCTTGTGCTGTTCGCCTTTTTTGGCGTTCTCTGCTCTGACATTGGTTGAGACTCTGGCCCTAAAGAAGGCCGTCTCTGAGCGTAGGCCAACCGGTTTGAAAGACAATGCCCATATATTATATATCAGAGCATGTTTTTGTGTGCATGTTCGCCACAAGTGCGTGTGGCTAATGCAGACAGGATCCCTTGCAAAAGGTTTCTGTTGGGTGTTAGAACATCTTAACACCTGCTGTTTCATTGAAAGAAATGGTAACAGCTCTCTTGTGTTTCACACTTTTGTTGCGGCGCAACTTACGACACAGAGGCAGGTCTTGGTTGGGGCTCACGCCGTGTTTATTAAGGGCCTACGCCTAGGTGAGGATCACCTACCGCGGGTCCCAACTCGTACCCCCTCGACGAACCCCGGTTACGTCCTGGGTCTCCCTTTAAATACCCCCCCGGGGGCCATGACGTCACCGTCCCCCCAAGGTCTGCCTGACGCCACGTTCTGTGACGCCACTCTCTTCGAGGGCGAGCGTGACGTGACGTCACCCACTACTCCTCTACACTTTGATGCTGGCGAAAAAAGGTCCAATGGTATAGCTGCTCACCCCGAGCTATAAATTATCTGATAGGTGCATTGTCCTTGCACCGGTCGCCTTTTTGGCGTTCTCTACTCTGACGCCGGTGAGACGAGACCATGCAAAAAGGCTGTCTGGTGTATTCCAATTCGTTTCAAAGACGATGCATCAAAATGTACCAGAGTGTGTTTGTTTTGCATGTTCAACACAAGTGCCGTGTGGTTAATGCGAATTCGACTCCTCGCAAGAGCCATAACCATCACGTGAACTCCGGTCATCCTCGCAGCGGCGGTTTTTGGCGAACCGTCGAACAAAAAATTAACCCGTAAAAACAAAGTTTTTCACTATAAATCCTTTATATGCGTGGCGGCTAGAGTCCTCTCGTCCTCTGGCTTGAGATGGCTGCCACCTATGGGCCAGATGATTGCCTGCCACCATTAAGCAATTGGTAATTAAATATAATTTATTTTTTCCTAAAATGTTAATTTTGGAGAAAAAAATTTCACGAAAATAAATTGTCACGCACAACGAGTCTGTGTGCATAATGTCAGCTCGATTGGATCACGGGAAGTGGGTTAAAAAACGACCGAAAGATTTGCACGGTCGTAAGCGCGCAAGCAAGTGAACTTAATATAAAGGATTTAAAAAAAGACGGTCACCGCTTCGCGCGCTTTTAGGATGCGCGCCTGCGGCCGTCTGGAACGCGCGGGGCACAAACCGCTGCCCCACCATTGCTTCCACAGCATCAAAAACAAAGATTCACCCGTACAGCATTAACAGACTGTTGGGGCGAGTGTTGTTAGCGAGTATCACCTATGAAGGCCGGCATGAGTGGCCAGCACCACGCCCGGCCGCCTTTGTCTCTCTAGAGGCGATGTTTATAGACTGCCCCAGGTACTCATTTGAGGCTGAGTCAACCTAGGGGATGCCCAGGTCCTGATCAGATAATCGTCACTGGTGTTGCCAGGAATTTCGTTTGTAGAGGCTTTTGGCTGGCCATCGAACAACGACAATCAACGCATCGCGCTCGTTCAGACGCGCTTCTGCGGCCGTCTGGAACGCTCTTGCGATGAGCGCGGTCGGCTACGTACGGTGCGAAAGAAGTTCAACGTACGCACACTCAGCGGGACTTCTTAGCCATCGACCTTCTTCTCTCCCGAGACCCGTGCCACCTTGTTTACATTCAGCAGATCTGTTCGCCAGCCTCTTGTTAGGATGCAGCCGTCGCCGCAGCGTCGCGGTGAGCCGAGCACACAGCTCGAGTAATGTGTTGGCAATCACGCCCGCCCACCCACCTACTCCCAAGACTTTTTGATCGGCGTGGAAGAGTAGACCAAACGCCCTCTAGAGGGCCTCTCTCAAGTTGTGTGCTGCATCTCTGTGTGTTGCTGCATCTGTGTGTGTGTTGCTGTATATGTGTCTGCTGCTGTTTGTGTGTGTGCTGTATTTGTGTGCTGTATTTGTGTGTGTGCTGTATGCGTGTGCTGTATGTGTGTGCTGTATGTGTGTGCTGTATGTGTGTGTGCTGTATGTGTGTGTGCTGTATGTGTGTGCTGTGTGTGTGCTGTATGTGTGTGTGCTGTATGTGTGTGTGCTGTATGTGTGTGTGTGCTGTATGTGTGTGTGCTGTATGTGTGTGTGCTGTATGTGTGTGTGTGCTGTATGTGTGTTGCTGTATTTGTGTGTGCTGTATGTGTGTGTGCTGCATCTCTGTGTGTGCTGTATCTGTGTTGCTGTATGTGTGTGTGCTGTATGTGTGTGTGTGTGCTGTATGTGTGTGTGTGTGCTGTATGTGTGTGTGCTGTATGTGTGTGTGTGCTGTATGTATGTGTGTGCTGTATGTGTGTGTGCTGTATTTGTGTGCTGTATGTGTGTGCTGTATGTGTGTGTGTGCTGTATGTGTGTGTGTGCTGTATGTGTGTGTGTGCTGTATGTGTGTGTGTGTGCTGTATGTGTGTGTGTGCTGTATTTGTGTGCTGTATGTGTGCTGTAAATGTGTGTGTGCTGTAAATGTGTGTGCTGTATGTGTGTGCTGTATCTGTGTGTGCTGTATCTGTGTGCTGTATGTGTGCTATAACTGTATTTGTGTGTGTGCTGTATGTGTGTGTGCTATAACTGTATTTGTGTGTGTGCTGTATGTGTGTGTGCTATAACTGTATGTGTGTGTGCTGTGTGTGTGCTGTATCTGTGTGTGCTGTAAATGTGTGTGCTGTATCTGTGCTATAATTGTGTGCTGTATATATGGGTGCTGTATGTGTGCTATAATTGTGTGTGTGCTGTATGTGTGTGTGTGCAGCATCTGTGTGCTGTATCTCTGCGTGCTGTATGTGTGCTATAATTGTGTGTGTGAGTGCTGTATGTGTGTGTGTGCTGTATGTGTGTGTGTACTGTATCCGTGCATGCTGTATCTGTGTGCTGTATCTGTGTGTGCTGTATATGTGCTGTACGTGCGAATGAATGTGCTGTACGTGTGTGTGTGTGTTGTGTGTAACATTTTTTCTAAAATCCTCGACCAAACGGGAGTGCTGTATAAATGTTTTTCCTTCTTCATGACGGCGAGTCTGTTATGCAGGAATCATAGGTCAAAATGGCAAATTTAAGGCTCGGAAATCGATGCTGAAAACTCAAGGTGACAGCTCACGTGAACATTTTATAAAGCATCAATATCAAAACATCTCATTATCGCGATGTCAGCCGCTTGGAATTGGGTTATTTAGGAGGAATTTGGAACCGCCGTGAGAGCTCCGGTAATACTTTAGAAAATGTTCCCGCATGATTTTGAAATTCTTCTCCGAAGCACGCTCACCCCCCCCCCCCACCCTCACCCGTGATTGGAAATGTATTGCCATTTCATTCGCCGCAATTTAGAGCACGTTTGATAAATAGGATATTTCTTTGATGGGTTACGGATACGGTAGCTGCAGAAATGTTAATCCTGGCATGAATTTTTTTTTTTACGGCATAATGAATTAAAATCTAGCGAGCACTCACAAGAGATGTTACACACACACACACGCACGTAACGGACCCATTTCTCATTTCGCTGCTGAATGTGGGCTTGATCGTGCCGTGGGTCATGGGGGCGGGGTTGTTTGACCATACTTCACCATTCTGGTCAGCGGAGATTGGTCAAGGCAGGGGGAGCATAATCCTCTGCTGCCTACCACATAAGCCCCCCGACCCCTCCCAGCCTATACCACCTGTTATGCACGGCAGTCGACTTTCCAAGCACCGTGCATGTAAAAATCCTGCTTAGCTTTTAAGAACTGATGAAATCAGGCTAACTTTGAGCGATGTGGTCATTGGGAAAATAACAAAACGTTTCTTTACATATTAATGGCAATGTCTATATGTTTTTTTTTCTCGGTGTGTTAATTAAGAAGCGTTAGTGAGATGCTGTAGTACAAGACGTGGCTGGGTTACTTTGGGGTCATAGCGCTGATGAACCGAAACCAATGGGATCCTGGATTCCAATTCGGACTCTAACCACCTGTGATTAAATCGTATTGTCAAGTGGAGTGAATTCATGGCCTCAGTCACAAATGAGTGCTCAAAAACAACCCCCCCCCCCCATGGCTTCTTTCACACGTGGCACATGTGTAGATAAAAAAATAAGTATAACCCGTAAAAACAAAGCTTTTCACTATAATGCCTTTATATGCGTGGCATCGGGGCGGCTAGAGTCCTCTCGTCCTCTGGCTTGAGATGGCTGCCACCTATGGGTCAGATGATTGCATTGCACCATTAAGCAATTGGTAAATAAATATAATATTTTTGTCCTAAAAAGTGTAAAATTTTGGAATAAAAAATTTCACGAACATTAATTGTCACGCACAACGAGTCTGTGTGCAAAATGTCAGCTCGATTGGATCACGGGAAGTGGGTTAAAAAACGACCGAAAGATTTGCACGGTCGTAAGCAAGCAAGCGAACTTAATATAAAGGATTTAAAAAAAAGGGATTTCAAACGAAGTTTTGTGATATCTGCTTCCGGTGAGATGAGGGACATATTCCAACGCACAGGGCAAAGCGGAGCTCTACCTGGCAGAGTTCCCCATTTATTATTAATTCTATTCTTCATCTCGAAGTTTTTAATATATTTACCGAGACAAATGCCACAGTACGTACGGATCCATACCATCCCACGACGCTAAAAACACCCACACCAAGCAATGGAGTGAAAGGTAAACGATAACATTTGAGAGAACGATGGGCAGTCATGTTTTGGCCCCCTGACCAAGGGAAATCTGAGCCGTTGACCTTTCCACGCGTCCACTCGCACGCACACACACAGGCACGCAGTCAAAGACAAAGATCCCATTTCCCGTATAGCCTGAATGAACTGTTGGGGCAGCACCACGCCTGGTCGCCTTTGTCTCCCCAAGTGGCGATGTTTACACACTGCAACAGGTACTCATTTGAGTCTGAGTCAACCTAGTGGAGGACAAAGGACCGGTTCAGACAATCGTCACTGTTGGTGGCTGTGCGCGGGAATCGGTTTGCAGTGGCTTTGGGCTGGTCATCAAACAAAGACGGTCACTGCATCACACGCTTTCAGATGCGCTTCTGCGGCCGTCTGGAATGCTCTTCCTTCTGATATCATGAAGCCACTTGCGCTTTGCACTTTTAAAGCATCTAGATTGAAAACTCATTTCTCTTGAACTGCTTTTTGCGTGTAGTTTCGTTGCCCTTCCTCCCGCACCTCCGATTAGCACGGTTTGGCAACATACGATGGTGCGAGGGAAGTTCAACGTACATTCGTACGGACACACGTAGCGCCGTGCAGTGCAGGAACGTGCGTGCGTGATGGGCATCTTCGAGCCAGACTCTTGTCGCACGTGCGTTGGCTGGTGGCTGCGATGGCCATGCATGGGAGAGAAAGAGGGCCTCGCTGCCTTAAGCGCCACCACACGTGCGAGCCACAGAACGCGACGGGACGACAGACGCTTTCCGCTCGCGAACGTAAATGCAATTTAATTCTCTGGCGCGCTTCTAAAAATACGTAACGTGTCGTAAAAGCAAGTCGTTGTCATTGTGTGTGTGTGGTTTTTTAACACCGTTCTCGTGCTAAACGGCGACGACCGCGCTCCCGGCTCCCCCCTGTGTGTCGTCCTAATGGTGGTGAAAACTGTGTCTGTTTTGCAGGACAGTCATTAATTCCGGCCTGCAGTACATTTCTCAGCGCGCATTCAAGAACAACAACCTCCTGCAAAACATGTGAGCGCATCTCGTTGCACTCGGTCAACGCGACACTTTCCGCTGCCAGAACTTGTTCAGTAAAGCCGCGTTTTTTGTTCGGAGGGCAGAAAACAAATGTTAAAGTGACGAATACAAATGTGAAAATTTTTTTGACACTCGGAAATTACTTGCTAACGGTGCGTGCGGTTTGCCCTTGACCCGTGAACTTTAATTTCTGAACTAAATGTGAAACGGCACCTTAACAGTGTTCACATTGCCTACACCGTAGAATAAGTTTACGTGCTATGAAGAAGGGCCGAAACGTCACTCATTTTACGTTGAATATTTTTAAGGGCGGTGTTATCTGATGAACGTTTCTTTAGCTTCGTTTTTTTTGGTTACACTTTGTCACGTCCTTCGAATCCGGTTAAGCGGTTCCAACACTGGCCGCTTGTTTTAGAAACAAAGCGAAAAAAAAAATGCCTCGCGCGAATATTTCGACGAACCAAATGAGGCCTTCCAAAGTAGGGGGGGGAAAATAAAAGTAATCTTGGTGAGGTTTTTGGCGGTTATAAATTACTCCTGGATATTTTGTCAAGGTCGATTAAATGGACAGATGCGAACGGGTTATTACTTACGACGCGTCAACGCTGGCGAGTGAGGAGAAAGAAGCAGATTCTTATCGCGCGAGCGAGCCTACGGGTTCATTATCACATTCACGCGAGTCCCTATCCCCATATAAACGTTCATGTGTCCACCCACCACTCCCCTCCTCCCAGGCAAGTGGTCCCCACCTACGTGGGGCAGTGAACCCCGTGTTTTCCCCCTTCATTGGGGGGGGGCAGCTTTCGTGCCGAGATCGGGCTGTTTGCTGTTCACAGAGTTTACGTTCCGCCACCCCACCTCTCATCTCCGTTCTGTGATCGGCGTTTTGCACGGGGGGTTCACGTTGAGTTGCAATAATAAAAATACTGACAACAACAATAACAACAATAAGTCAAATTTTGATTTAAAGCTTTCGTGACTGCAGGGATTTATCTTCTTGGTTCTTTCGGTAAAGTCACGTAGAAGGGAAATAATAAAACAATAAAAATGAAACATAATGAAATACAATTCTCACGTCCTTGAGGAAGGCTGCTTGCGTTGTGGCCGAAACGTTGTGAGAATTGTATTTTATTATGTTTTATTTTTATTATTTTATTATTTCCCTTCTACGTGACGTTACCGAAAGAACCAAGAAGAACAATAAGTCACACACAAGTCCGAGACGTGTGGACCAGTCGCACCGACCGAAACGAAGGACATTATATGACGAGCGGGCAGCCGAGGTGACTGCTGCGCTCACATCAGAGCTCACCTGACCATCATCAGACCCGACGCCGCTCACCAATCGTAAACTCATCCGACCCTCACTACTCACCGGTAAATGGTACAGTAGATGAGCATTGCTCGGGCCGATCGGCCACATTAATCTGGTGAAGAGCAATTTTCATTAATTTCGACCTCACTCACGTAAATGTATCATAAGCGGTCACATTACTTCTTATTGCTTGACATTTGTGGGGTGGTCTAGGAGTTCTGAACACACACACACTAGCTGCTTATTATGTAGATTTCAATACCCAAGTACCTGCACTAATCATGTGATGGGATGTTATCACCTTTCATGTGAACGGTTACGATAATAACAGTCCAGCGACCACAGGGAAAACACGCAAACTCCAAATATGCAGGTGTCAGGGTCGGGATCGAACCCACGACCTCCTTGCCTCTAAGGCGAGGTAGTTAACATCTCGCCACCATGGCACTGATGGGGAAGGTGCTGTTAGCGAGCACCTATCAAGGCCCACGTGATGCACAAGGGGCTAGTCAGGCTGCTTTGTGTCTCTCTCCAGCACTGATGGTCATTGCACACCTCACTAAATATTCAATTAAGGCTGAACAAACCCAGAAGAGGGCCATGACTATTTCAGATATCATTCACCGATTACATTTTACAGCCTTTGTCACTCCATTGCTGGATGAAGGCCTCCCCATGCTGCTGTTTTGGTCATGGGAGCTATTTAAGCTAACCTTACCTTCCTGGTCAGTGTGGTTCAGGTTCAAACATCGCTCAACACCGATGTTATCCATGTCCGGGAATCTAACTGAGGTTGCGGGGTTCTTAGCGCAGGGCACTAACCACTGACCCCACCGCTGCTCCTACCATATCAAACACAAAGATCCCCCGTATAGCCTGAACAAACTGTTGGGGCAAGTGTTGTTAGCGAGCACCTATGAAGGCCGGCACAGTACACGAGTGGGTGGGTGGACAGCACCACGCCCAGACGCCTTTGTCTCCCAAGCGGCGCTGTTTATACACCGTACCAGGTACTCATTTGAGGCTGAGTCGACCTAGGGGAGGCCCAGGACCTGATCAGATAATCGTCGCCGGTGTTGACGGCCGTAAGCGGGAATGGAACTTGCCGGGCCTGGTTCATGGCGCAGCTCGCTAACCGTTACGCTATCTGCTCCCACAGTATATCACGGGTGCACGCACGCACACACACACACAGTGGTTAATGTATATTACACGTATTTTTCACTGTCCCATAGATTGCGAATAAATTGCGAGGCACGTGCAGTAAATCATGTGAAACTAATCTGTGACACGCAATATGAAAGCAACTAGCAAACGAGATTCATGGCTGGAGAAAATGTCCCGGAGATTGGAATTGGCATTGAGAAAGCAAGGCACTGGCCACACGGAGATCTTCACATTCCAGATCCCGCTCCCACCCCCCTCGCCCCCCCCCCCCCCCCACCAGTTATGAACATTTGGAGAAAATCGCGCTTTTGTGCTTCGGCAGTTTGTGTCATTTAAAACCGTTGTATTATTTACAATACGATGATTTTAGTCTCACTGAGTCTCAACATATTGAACTGCTTTTTTTGTGTTTAGTTTGTTGTCCTTCTCCCGCCGCACGGTTGGCTACGTACGGCGGTGCGAAAGAAGTTCAACGTACAGCACGTTTTTTTTTTGTTTCAGAAATATTCTTGCCAAGTTTTAGCTTTTAGGGGGTGCGACGTCGTGGCTTTGTGCGATCCCACTTGCGTAATTTGCAAGTTTTGGGATATTTGGCGAATACCCGTTGCATTTTTTTATTTCGCTGTGGGAGGAAACCCACGCAGAACAGGGAGAGAACATACCAACTCTACACAGAGAGGCACCCGAGTCGGGAATCGAACCCAAGTCGTTTTGGCTGCGAGGCACGAGTGTTAGATCTGCGCCATCCCCGCCGTTGTAACGAATTCATATTTTTGGTGAGCCCACAAATTGTTGCAATTCAAAATCGATTCGATGTTTTAAAAAACAATATTTTATACATATACAGGGTGCTTCAAACAAATGTTAACGCTTCTGAGAATTTGCAACAATACCACAAGAAATGTGCTGCCTCCGGGCTCTGGAGACCACCTGGAGAAGATTCCAGGCACGTGTTGGCAATGATGGCGAAACAAGTGGAGACCCTTTGACGTTTTGAAGCTATTAACATTTGTTAACATGTTTTATATTTTTTATTATTTTATTGTTTCCCTTCTACGTCACTTTACCGCAAGAACCAAGAATATGAATCCCTGCAGTCACGAAAGCTTTAAATCAACATGTTGCAGTGTATTATACTATTTTTTCCATTAAAAAGATAATCCCATGTAAGTTAAAAAAAAAAATTAAGCACCCTGTATATACTGTTATGAATGAGAGAATTGGAGAACGAACACGGGTCATTGACTCCGTTCGAGCTGTAGGGTTAATAAAATGAGCGGGCTTGGGCAGTCCACGTTGCTACGTGACAGAGTGGTAGCCAGCCGAGGAACGGAACGAGGTCCCCACGGCACCGCGCAGAGCGTGGAGAAGGAGCGACGGAAATGTCGCTCTCACGTGCAGGTGACACGCAGATTATGAATTACTACAGCAGGATCGTCTGAAATGGCGACAGCTCAGGGGGGAGGGCCTTCATCCAGCAGTGGATTGATCATGGCTGAATTGATGGCGGCTCGTGGCGATGCAACTTCAACCGTCAGATTCTTCTCCGACTTACTTCTCCTCTCCGTCAAACGTTTCCGCGGGAAGGGCGGATCGCTCGTCGCGTGCCGAACGAGCATCGCGCCTCGACGCAGTTCAATGCGAAAAACGTAATTTCTCAACAAATGAAATCCCAGCCAGACACCTGGACTACCTCTCCTACAGCGGCCATTGATTCTTAAGAGCATTCATTAGGGCATTTAGGCACTTCCCCCCCCCCCCTTTTCCACCCCCCTCCATATTTTAGTCTTTTACTACAGGGGTATCGGAGCTTAAGATGACACCAGGTACGTTTACACCATTGGAACCTCATTTGGCAGTAAAAAATATGATAATTGTTTTTTTACCCTTCTATTTGGCAACAAAACTGTCACCTTTTGTTACAAGGAGTAATGTTTGCATAGACCACAATACCTGCAGTCATAATGCAAACAAAAAACATAACTCTGATAATGTATGCACTGTCCTTGAAGTTGATTGGTCCGCACCCGAGACAGCTTTCCTTAGAGCCAAGTCTCACATGGGTTGGACCAGATGACGCCAAAAGACGCACAACTCAAAGACAAGGTATTGTGGTTTATGCAAACATGACTGCTTGTAAAAAAAGGTGTCAGTTTTGTTGCCAGATAGAAGGGTAAAAAAACCAATTATCACCAGATGGGTTGTCGAGTTTATCGGACCGGTTTATTGGAACGCGCGGTTTAAGACGAGTTTCCTCACGCGTGGTTTGTGCTGGTGTCAACCCACTTTCATATCCTCTGCGCTGCGTATCTGACCTCGTCTTGTCAAGACTATAATACTTTTGGGAAAGAAAAAAAAATGATCCCAGAGTCGTGCGGCTGAAACAAGGGCGGCTCTCGGCGCCTCAGAAAATAACTCCCCAAACATATTCTTAGGTTTTTTCGGTAAAGTCACGTAGGTAAAAAAATTAATAAAAGTAAAATAAAAATAAAAATCACGACGTTTCGGAGGC